AACATTCCACACCAACAGCTTGTTTGTCCTCTGGTATCAGTGAAGGAGGAAGAGCCAGTGTTTTGTTCCCTAACACCTCGGCTAGAGAGCAGGATGCTGCCCCCACTACTTTAACAAGATCAAAATATTACGTGCCTACAGCCAGCCTGTTTGTCCTTTGATATCAGTGAACCATCCCCAAGTATCACAATTGTATAACTTTTCTAATTGAAAAGTGTACCATGCATTAACAAAATCAATAAACTATCATAAAGCTACTTACTTTGTTGACTGCCTAACTGAGATCACAAAATCTTAAATCAGCAACAACTTGCTCTGTGATTATGCCTTCTGGTCCTATACTCTCCTACAAGGGGAAACAATCTCTCTGCATCTACTCTGTCAAGCTTCTCAACAATCTTGTATGTTTCAAGAAGGTTTTCTCTCATTCTTCTAAACTCTAATGAACAACTTACTCAAGCCCTCCCCATAAGAGAATCCCTCCATAGCCCGAATCAATCTAGTGAACCTTCTCTGACTGCTGCCAATGCCAGTATATCTTCCGTTAGATAAGGGAAGCAAATTGTTCGCATTATTGCCGGTGTGGTCTAAATAGGCCCATCCTTAGTTCTAGAGGAGTGTGCTACTTCATTCCATTTGAAATAAGAGGCCAAAAATCCACTTGCCTTTCCCTATTTCCTGCTGAACTTTGCTGCTAGATTTTGTGATTTATGCATAATGACCCCAAAGTCACTCTGTGCTGCAGATTTCAGCAGTCTTTCTCCATTTAAATAATATTCAGTTCTTCTATTCCTCCTACCAAACTGAGGAATAAAACTCATTTTCTTATATTATATTCTATCTGCCTAGTTTTCTCACATAAATTGTCTGTATCCCCCTGTAGAGTCTCGGAGTCATCCTAACTACTTGCCTTCCAATGTATTTTTGTGTCATCTGCAAACATCGGCGTTAGCATACTCATTTCTGTCATCCTAGTTATTGACATATATTGTAAATAATTGTCGTCCCCAGCATTGATCCCTGTGATACTCCACTTGTTACAGGTTGCCATACTGAAAATGTCCCTTTTATCACAACTCTCAGATTTCTATTAGTTAGTCAATCCTCTAACCATTTGATATATTACCTCAACACCACGGGATTGTATTCTTGATAAGAAGTGTTATGTGAGGTATCTTACTGAATGTCTTTTAGAAATTCAAACATATTGCATCTAATGGTTCTCCTTTATCTGGCTTGGTTGTTACCTCCTCAAAGTATAGTAATAAATTTGTCAAGCATAATTTCCCTTCATAGATAGCAAGAACTGCAGATGCTGGAGTCAGGGATAACACAGTGTGAAGCTGGAGGAACACAGCAGGGCAGGCAGCATCAGAGGAGCAGGAAAGTTAACATTTCGGGTCTGAAGAAGGGTCCTGACCTGAAATGTCAACTGGCCTGCTCCTCTGATGCTGCCTGACCTGCTGTGTTCCTCCAGCTCCACACCGTGTTATCTCTGATTTCCCTTCATATTGCCTTGTCTTGATTATGTTCTGTATTTCTAAATGCTCTGCTATTACATCTTTCATACTATACTTGAACGTTTTTCTAACGCAGACATTAAACCAACAGGCCTACATTTACTGTGTTTTTGTCTTCTTCCCTTTTGAATGAGGGTTATTAGGGTTGTCCATGGCTGGAAGTGGTTCTCAGATAACATAAAATGGCTGAGGAAGACTTTTAACTAAAACAGCAGCTTCCATTGTCTATACACGATACATTAGAGTAATTAGATGCCTTCATCAAGGGAGGATATTCAAGGTAACAAGATTATGATAGCACACAAAGGGTTTTGTGAAATGCATACAAAGAGTTGCTGAATGAGAAGGGAAAGTGCAGCTGCTGCCTGTGTAGGGAATGGTTGATAAGGAACATCCTTGACTGATAGAAGTTTTCATACTAGGCTGCTTCAAAGTCTCGTCTTCATCGTAGGATAGAAGGGAAAGGTCTGACCCACATCACTTAAGACTCCCAGGTAATTGTAGCTGAAGGTTACACATAAAAAAATGGAGCTTAAGTTTACAGATATTAAGGAATCTAACTGTATTCCTATGGATACTCAGTCTAAGGCAGATAGGAGAAGGCCCCTTACTATTAGCAGGGGAGTACTGAATAATTGACACAGGAGCTAAAACCTGGAGTGTGATTGAATAAGATGTATTATGAAGGCCCAAGGGTAGGAGATAAGAGGCTATGGTAAATATCATGACATCATGGCACGATCCAAAGCTGTCCAGGCCCTGATCATGCAGTTAGATGGTTAACCTGATTGGATGAGTATGTAATCAATTAATAATACGATTGGTTTGTAACAGCTAAAAGCTAAAAGCAAATGTACAAAAAATGTTATGTTTCCCTTTGTTCCCTGAACTGCCCAGGGACTTTCTCCCAACCAGTTTAAAACAATAAACTCTTTGATGCTGAAAGTAGACCTGCGTGTCGAGTTATTCATTTTGTCATTCTGCCTCAACAGGTGTCACATTATTAGTTTTCTATTCCTCTGAGACTCTTCCAGAATCTAAGGATTCTTGGAAGATTATAACCAGTGTATCCACTATCTCTGTAGCTACTTCCTTTAAAATCCTAGGTTGCAAGCTTGTCCAGTCAGGAGAGTTATCAGCTTTTAGCCACATTAGTTTCCCTAGTACTTTTGCTTCATTGATAGTTATGGAGTTTGTTTTCTCACTCACTTCTTTAGCTTACCTCGATTATTTAGTAGTTTTGGAATGCTATTAGTGTTCAGTACTGTGTAGATTAATGCAATGTATTTGTTAAGCTCCTCTGCTATTTCTTAGTTCCTCATTATTATTTCTCCAGCCTTGTTCTCAAAAGGGTTTACGTTCAATTTGGCCTCTCTCTTCTTTTTAATATAAAATAAAAGAAGCTCTTACTACTATCTATGTTTTAAATTACATACCTGATTGATCTCATAATTTAATTTCCCCTTTTTTT